AGAGAGACTATGACTTTTTTTTTTTTAATTAGAAAACCTAGAAAGGGGTAGAATTTAATAGCTTTATTGAATAGTTTATGTTAAATTATTCAAATTAATTATTAATTCTATAAACATATTTTCATGACAAAACTAGTAATATGAGTTGTTAAAAAAGTAATTATCAAAGTATTTAAATATTTAGTGGATAGTTATTTGAACACTACTTAAGGTTTTAACTATTTGTAATTGCCCATAATTTGTTAAAGATATTGTCAGTTCTGTGCTGACTATCATTGATGCTCTAGGGCAATCATATATTTAGCGCATTTATTTATCATGGGTAGAAATTTAATATATCTTTCATGACAAATTTTACATACATTAACCTCTATATCATAGCCATAATCCCAACAATGTATACAATATAATATATCAAAATACTATATCATTTTTATTTTTAATATAACTAACAATTACGAGTTGTGTTCAATAAAATACCTAGACAACATTTTTTTGAAATTTTATTTAAAACTTATAGACTATTTAAATGGATCACCTTCAAAATAGTGTCCTTTAGCTAGCTTCAATACAATGCTCTTGACGGCTATTGAAAACATATTTTAATTTTTTCTAAGGTTATATCCTTTAACTCTTCTGTCGCTTTGTGGATAGTTTCTTTAACGTCTTCGAATCTATCAACCAAAAAAACAATAATGAACAATGCTTTAATGTTTGACCGTACATTTTTTTTTTGGATGAGATGTATTGCGGTCTTCCATTGCGATAATTGAACTTTGGTTTCGGAATCATATTTATATGTTTCATCATTCGTAATAATTTATTTTACAAAACTTAGGTTATTGTAAACCCAATTTTTTAGTTCCAAACAATGCGATGTTTCTTTATTCTTCGATTAACAATTTTGGCACTAATATTGCGGACACCCTTTTCATTTACAAATCGTCTAAATAAGTACCAATTGATATGGCAACCTCATTGGCCACTTCTCTGACGGTCAATCGTCGATCGTTTCTAATTTTCTTTTCGAATAAGAGTAGTGGTTTCATTTGTTTTAGCTTCGATGCGAAGCTGAGAAGGTATTGGTTTTACTAAGATGTATTTTTTTTTGTGTGTGTTACCACTTTTTCTCAGCTCTCACCGAACCGATTTCTTTCAATGATATGTCAAAAGATCACAAATCGTATCTAGTCGAAGACATTACCCTTAAAATTGAAAAAAATCCCTCGTTCCTCATAAATGGGGGAAACCTCTAAAAAAATTATAAATTTAAAAATCGCTAATTTAAAAAAATTTTTCAATTTTTTTAAATAAAAACTGCCATAACTTTTTTAAAAATGAACATATCAATATAATTTTTTTTTATATAGATGCATGATGTCTTTACCTTTTATTTGGTATATTTTTTTTTTATATCTGATCTTTTAACTGCCCACAGGGGGATTTAAAATGACAACTTTTTCACAAAAAATAAACTTTTTCAACTTAAATTTTGAAAGTGTTCCGGAAAGTCTGACACTTTTATATATATCTTAAATTAAAGCTTATGTAATTTACTTTATTATGTAAAAAAAAAAATTTCGGACTTTATTTTGTCTTCACGGTAAAAATGGCTACCGAATGCTATTATTATGTGAAAATTCTCGACTTTATTTTTTACATTTTTAACTTTATAATGCTATAACTTATTGAAAAGTGTATTGATCAATATAATTTTTTTTATGAGAAATAATGTTTCTTAATTAATAATCCCTTTTTTATTCGACATACTTTATCTTAAACAAGATATTAATAAGGAACTAGCAAAACATGTAGCATGTAGATTTTGGAATAATCCACCAATTTTTTTAGCTGAGAAGGTATTGGTTTTACTAAGATGTGTTTTTTTTTCTCAGCTCTCACCGAACCAATTTCTTTCAATGATACGTCAAAAGATCACAAATTGTATCTAGTCGAAGATTACCCTCAAAAATTGAAAAAAATGCCCTCGTTCCCCGTAAATGGAGGAAACCTCCAAAAAAATTACAAATTTAAAAATCTCTAATTTTCGAAATTTTTTCAATTTTTTTTACTTAAAAGTGCCATAACTTTTTCAAAAATGAACATATCAATATAATTCTTTTTTATATAGATGTGTAATATCATTACCTTTCACTGTTTGCACTGTTAATGACTAATTTGAGATAAAGACTTATATGCTGAAATAATGGTCTCTAGTTTATTTTGGTATAACAACATTACCAATAACATTAAAAGTTTTTCTGTAAGTTTATTAGTTTGGATATTTATTGAACACACCTCGTATTTTTTTTTTTACAAATATTTTTACCTATTGTAAAAAAAAATAAAATGTAAAGGAACAAAAGTACAACTAAAAATCCAATTTTGAACACGCCACTCATATACACACGACTTGTTATCAAAGACTATGTCAATATCAAATAGTGATTGTTTGAGGATAGTTAAATTTATGAATATCAACAGAGCAAACAAACTATTAGTTTCTGAATTTTTTTTTAGTCCCAATTCTGTCACTCGCTTGTTGTCGCTATTTTTAATTATATTATAACTAAATCACTAAATGCAGAAAGGGCACATGTCCAAGTTTTAAAATTTTTCAGGAAACACAAAAAACTTAATATATCTGAAAAAAATTGAATTACAAATTGTATGTTATAGAATAATATAGTTTAAGACATGGTATATGAGTACATGTTTCTACAATCACTTTAAGAAATATAATTAAACTGTAGGTATCTGAAGGACTTTAAGGTCGTGGACATGTGCCGTTTATGCTTCAAATTACCATTTATAATTCGAAAATAACCGTTTTCTTATAAATAAATAGCTTTAATATGCATAAAAATTAAAATGACATGATTAAATAATATACTGTATATTATATACTAATATTAATAATAATATTAGTATAATAATTAGAAATTGAATTATAGAAATATGTTATGTTCTATTTTGCCTTGCTTGAGGTGTCTTAGTTTGTAACGAAAATATAAAATTCTAAAATGGTTGCAATGCTAGCTCTGGAATATATTTCGTTAGTTGCTTCAAATCTTTCATTTTGCTTTCAATAATTGGTAAGCTTGAAGTATAAACTAGTGATTTTGGGTACTGCATTGAATTTTAATTAATTATATAGAAATTAAAAATTTTTCAATTGTACGACGTTGTTTAAATGTTTTATTATGGCTTAAACATTCATATGCATTCGTATTTTAGCTTCGATGCGAAGCTGATAAGGTATTAATTCTATTATGATGTGTTTTTTTTTTTTTTTTTTTTTTTCC